TTACCCAATCCAACCTTCTTTCCTCATCCCCCCAACCATCTTTCCACACCCCACCTTCTACCCAATCCGTCTTTCCCCACCCCAAATATCTTTCCCCAATCCAACCTATTCCTGGAACCCAACCTATTTTCCCTAATCCAACCTTCTTGCCCCATCCCAAACAGCAAATGTCCAGTCCCTTCAATCAGAACATTTTATACATGTCTTCGGCTCTTGATAGCAACATGTGAAGAACCCATGTATAAGGAACATATTTAGTGTTTCATTCTGCAACATTTGGCACATTTCTATAGAAACACCACATAAGAATCACACCAAGAAAATCATAGTTTTGCGTAGGAATGTAAGCACAATAGACAAGCACCACTGTGTTTGCATTTTACATCACTGATGAAGTTCTCCTTCATCTACTAATTGCACAAACTGAGGGAAATATACATTAAACATAAACATTTTCTAGCTAAACTAAAATTTCTTAAGCAGTCTAACATAAGAAAAAATCTTCAACATCCAAGTCAGCTATATTGAAGATGTAATGGGGAAATTACTCGAATCTGTTGATCCAAATCCCAGAATGAACAGATTTGACTGATTTCTCTGAGTTTAACTGTTACCAGGACCTATAAGTTTACTACGATATTGCATAATGGCTTACTGTAGTGCCAGTTTCTCAAGTGCAAAGTTGTTCAGAATGGCCAGTGAATTCCTGACTTGAAATAAACTGTGATGTGATGATATTATAATGGCTTAATACTGTAACAGATACTGAATAAACCACACTGGTGAAAGTCTAATATTTATCAACAGGTTATAGTTTTTAGAAGGTCAGTTAGTCATACAGATTCAATATGAGGAAACTGGGATGATCATACCGTACTCCTTTAAACTTTTATCACTACTCGTTAACTTCCTTAAGTGGCATATAGAAGCTGGTATGATGAAGTGGAACACTTTTATGGATAGACAACTTTTTAGTTGCAGTAGTAGTTGCGACGTTTGGGTGTAGATCCTAACACCTAGCACCGTTATCATTTGCTTGATAACGGTGTTAGGATCTACACCTAGCAACGATCTACAACTACTATCCATAAAAACGCCAGTCTAACTGACTGACTGACTGAGTTTGGTTTTACGCTTTTAGCAATATTCCAGCAACATCCATAAACACCAGAAATGGGCTTCACACATTGTACCCATGTGGGGATTCGAACCGGGTCTTAGTTGATAAACTAGGCTACCCACTGCTCCTAAACAGTCTAACTACTGCCATCTTATGCACATTAGTTGTATACAGTATGGATTGATCTGAAAATATATGATACAATGTCGTTACCGATCTCTTCACTATTGCCCTGTTCACACTTTGAGGAACCTGACACAATGACCTTGACAGTGGTCACAAGGTAGAGCTACCGGTAAAGTCACACACAAGTCTTTTACTGAAAACAAGTCCTGTAACTTGTGACCGACAAGTTTAGTTTTACACCGCTTTTAGCAATATTTCAGCAATACCACGGGGGGGTCACCAGAAACTTGTGAACATGGAACAGTGATATTTTACGTGCATCTCGTAGGGTGCAATAATATGGATGGGTATGATACAATACGTATTGCAGTACAATGGTCATAATACAATATGTATCACAACATCAGCATGAAAACACAATGGCCATGAACTGATATGGTTACATAGTTCGGAGGAGTGACAAACTGGAAACAGACTGTTCTTCCTAGTCCCCTGTTTTGAAACCATCATTATATGAACTAACTTTAAGCTAGCATGGTCCCGGACGGTTGACTTATAGGTGCTTTTTCAAGGTCTTATTTATCCCTTCTGATAGAATATTTTTAATTTAGCAATACCGGCAAACATGTTTTGCATATTACATCAAAGGTTAAGTACAGGTGTATCATTTCACTCTCAAGATATAATGGGATTCCGTCCAATCAGCTCTTCAGATCCTGAATATCCAAATCATGACATATGTAACTTCGATTATTTAAACCTACTCAATAATAACTAAACATCCATAATGAGAGAGTTACCTACCTTGGTGTCACCAGTATTTCACATGCATGTACACACTATGTTCCTCAATCACCTGTGTATACACTGGGCCAATATGCATCAACAGATGTGGGGTTAATTTTTATCAGCTAATGAAATAAAGCCATGAAGAACTCCACTGCCAAAATAGAACTACTACTAAGGCGAATTTTGAGAGAACCGTCTCCTTGCCTGTATCTGAAGCCATGAGTAGAACAAACAAAAACAATGCTGTTTGTGTGATGAATGACAGCTGATAAGACATTTCTTGTTGGTTTACTTCTCCCAAGAAACCCATGTAGGTCCGGGTTAGAATGAACCTTCAGTAACCCATGCTTGTCGTAAGAGGCGACTAACGGGATCGGGTGGTCAGGCTCGCTGGCTTGGTTGACACATGTCATCAGTTCCAATTGCGTAGATCGATGCTCATGCTGTTGATCACTGGGTTGTCTGGTCCAGACTCGATTATTTACAGACTGCCGCCATATAGCTGGAATATTGCTGAGTGCGGCGTAAAACTAAACTCACTCACTCTCCTAGAAACAGCGTTCATTTGCTTTCATCATAAATAGCACCTACACCACAAAAGAGATTTATGTGGGCTGTGTGATGGAGGAAAATGGAAGATTGGCGAATACATACTTGTGAAACACTGACAATGATTTCAAGTGAAACTAGCTGGATTTCAAACTTACAAGTTAACATGTCACTGAAGACTGTGTGAATACATGCACAACTTCCTAACAGTAACAATAACAGGTGGGATCTCCAGATCAACAGAATCCAGATTAAAGACGTTTCACCATAATTCAATGGCCATTGCAGCATTCAGGACTGGCCAATCTGAGATCAAACATTCATCATCAAACCCTAAAAAAAACCTGGAAGCATTCACGCCAAAATATTTTAAAGGCATTTTCAAGAGGTAGTTTTCTTGGCATTATTCTAGTATTCTTTAAAAAGAGCCATTTGTAAAACTACAGAAAATACATATTTGTCCTACAGAGGTAGCTGGCCAGACAATCTTCAAATTTAGTTTTACCCATCAGTAATACCGTATTTGTCATAATAACCTCCTGGGGCTTAAATTTTTTAAAAAGGATGCCATAAAACAATACACAAAGAGCTGAATTTGTTTTTACAGATCAAACATCTGTAAACAAACTTGTTTAAATATGAATGACACTAAAACAATTTCAATAATTGTTTCTTACAATTATATATCAGCTCTGCGCTGCTACTATCAATAAAAAGGATGTGATATACACAAAAAGATTTGGACTGTCACAAATTTCGATCTCAGGGGCACCTAAAACGATTTTGACTGATGGGTGGCTTTTAAAGATGGGTGTCTGTTTAACATGGCAAGTACGGTAGTAAAGATACATAATCTGCGAGATGTATATGAAGATAGGTCCCCAAACTACAAATACTACCTTCCACATGACATAAATCAATGAAAATATGCCGACACCTGCAATTTAATATTTGCGTGGTAAATTCCGACACCAAGACAACACATTTAACACACAACATACTTTTTGTATTTTGGTAATTCCAGTTTTGGTCAGTTATCACATTTGGCATGTGTGTATCACGTGATCCTCACACCATGTATATCACATACACTTGAAAATGGTTGGATAGCGATAGTTATGAAATTCGAAACCATCACTTCCTATGGTAACAGACAACAGTTAAAATAAATCTGTTATCATAAACATTGTTCTACTTCAGAAGACAGGCAAAACTTTCCTTTTGGCTCATGACTGAAATAATTGACAAAATTCACCCGAATGAAAGTATCAAATTTGACAGATCTGTTGAACAGATAAATATCATATCTTAAAAGAAAAAACCAATGTGCTATAGATTACATACTCCCTTAATGTTTCAATAATCCTAACGTGTTGCAACTTCTGCAAGATGCAAGTATCGTAGTTTTTGTGCAAAACGTTAGTTCACTTGAAAAAAAACCCTATCAATTTTACATTTGTTCATAAAAATACAGCACATCAATAAATACAGAATAAATACACACACACACACAAACAAGCAAATGCACACACGCATCCATCCACACATCTGTATTACAAGAATAAATATATATCTGTAACTAGAAACTAGACAATACACCGAAACAACAGAAGAGTAAACATGGGTCTTCATTTCTAACTATTCAACATAATAATCCCAATAAAAATAAAATACTGAAAAGTTCAATGCTGTTACAGGAAATAAATAACCCATAACCACAAAATTCTTATGTTATCTAAGATTAGAATTAATGGATATTTTAACATGTTTTTGATGCAGATCAAGGAGATATTAAAAAGCTGACCATAGAATAAGTTTTGTCAAAAACTGAAACCTTAAGCCTTGAGGTTTGATCATACATTGAGTCACTCAAACACAAAACACCTTAATTACAAAATGTTTTTGTTAAAAGAATCAATAACTGCTAACTAAAGCTTTTGTTCTCCCTTACAAAACCTCTTATCGTTATTTGCATTATTGAAATTGTTATTTAAGGAGCACTCAGGCATAGAATTAGACAGTGTATGTCTATCTCATTCTGTGTCTGATGTGAAAACATTTACATAATGAAAGGGAGTAATTAGAAGCACATTCAGTGCAAAGCATTATTACCCCCAAAAGCTTATATTTTCATGCTGTTTTGGGGAAACACATATTTAGGTCACATGTTAGTTAAGGTCTTCCAGCCTTTGGGTAGGATTTGATGTCTACCTCTAATGGATATGTCACCAAGTCTACTGACTAACTGACTGAGTTTGGTTTTACGCCACTTTTAGCAATATTCCAGCAACATCATGGCGGGGGACACCAGAAATGGGCTTCACACATTGTACCCATGTGGGGGATTCGAACCCGGGTCTTCGGCATGACGAGCCAACGCTTTAACCATTAGGCAACCCCACCGCCCCTGACCAAGTCTAAGTTTGTCTGACTTGTCATGTATCCATAATTAACTATCATTATATTCTTTAGAGATGCAATATTTAGAAATGAGAGTACCCTATATAGTTAATGAATTTTGCAGTAGAACAGTGAAGGAAGTTTAAAGGTCAAGGTGACTGCTATGTCTATTTCATTGGACACAGGAAATCATAGACAATTACATTTATTGATTCCTGCATAAAATACTTGCCTACCGTAACAGGAAATTCAATAACAGATTTGATACTTGTCTAAAACCAGGCTCGTATTTTACACACAAAAAACAATTATCAAATTCCTTGACCCCAATCATAATTTCACACACCTACAATTTCTACCAAACACTAAATCATTCAGTTTTGATGTTGCTCAAATCAGTACTTTGATACAATGATTAAGATTTAAAACAAACAAAAAAACACTACAGTTCAATGTTTTGTTTCATAAATGATGAAGAGAAAATAATTTGTGAAAATTATCCAATCAAATTCCTCCATGTACAGACAAATCTTTCCATGATATCTTGTGTATATTAGGATATCTTTAACACGATAACATGTTTCTAAATTGTACCCTCAAGGCCATGAAGACATACTCAACAAATATCGTCCTTCATGACGAGATGATACCAGCATCAAACGACCTTCATATTTCCTGATGTATGAAGTAAATGTCATGTTTAGAGATGAATATGTGTCCTTATTTAACATTCAATAATGGAACATGGTCATCATGTAAAATATTTATCCAAACAAGCTCTCACAAGCTTCAACAATTTGAAAGATGTTTTCCATGCAACTAATAACATTACTCCAACCCTGAATTGAATATCAATGGCACATATCATAAAATATCATCTAAATACCTTTGTAACTGATATTACTGATAATTGCTAGAGTAAATACATGTTTAGTTTCTCTCTCTTGCATTGATATTTGATATTTAACAACTGACCTTTTTCCAACAACAAAAAGAATTGAATTCTGACACACACGCACGCACACACACACATAATGCTAAATAGTTTTCCTGTTTCATGTTATTCATAACATAACTTGCAAGGATACACATGTGCTGGTGTCAAGAAATCATTATCTGCATAGTTGATTATGACTAGGCTCGGGAATCTACAAAAAAACTTGGTCTAATCCCTCCTGGATATTCATCCTACTTCACAATTTCCCCTGTGGACTGAGGATGATCTACTCAACTTTTCAATATGTTAAAAAACAAGTTAGCAGCTAGCATACTAATGAATGTTCTGGGTCCCAATCCACAAAGAATTTGTAACGTTACAACCTGACGTAACTCTATAGTTTATCATAGGCTTACAAAAGTCGTAGCTCTACGAACGTTTTGTGGATTGGGACCTTGTATTCTAAGCACTAACTGTACTGAAATAAGACAGTGTTGCCAAGCTGCAGTATTAGCACCAAAATCAGGCCTGGAACCCAAAAAATCTTTTCATCGAAAAAAAACCCACACTACCAAAAGAACAGAAGAAGAAGCAGCTCATATCCCATGTACACTATATGATACCTACTTTGGAAGCAATATTTGTGATTGCCATTTAGATAATAATCAGTTTATGGGAAAACATGATCTTGTTCTTTTGCAACTTCCCATGCGAGATATAACATTTGTACAAACAACTGCACATTGAAAAAACATAAACAGCAGACAAATAAGAAAATCAACTCAACAATAAAACAATCAACGGAAAAATGCCTATGTTCATTAATAAATGCAAAACTCACTACAGTATACAATCAGATTTTTGTATCCCAAATCATCATGTCTAGTACTAATGCTGCATACTGTTATCCCAACACCATATTATGTGTCTCCTTCATCTTCATCAGTAAAATCTGTATTATAATAATAATTATTATTATATCAATATTCATGACTTGATAACCTAACATGTTAAACTTGAACATATCTCGATCATTTTCTCAAGGTATGTCATTTAATTCACTATTTCTAAACATCAATGCTCGGAATGGCTGCATTCATTTTTCATGGCCATCATTTCAGTTGTAAAATATTTATCCAAACAAGCTCACAAGCTTCAACATTTTGAAGATATTTTCCATGCAACTAATGTTACTCTAGACTAATCCATGGTACCAAACTGACGTTTAGTTTTCTGTCAAGTTGATTTACTAGAAGGTAATTTGTAGTTATTGTAAAATAATAAGCTGCCATTGCAGTCGTATTGTTACTATACATTTGTCAATGTGCATTTGAAGGACACCATTGCTATATCCCAACTATTGATATCCATAGCTCATGAGATAAATGTTGATAACCACAGCTCCTGTGATATCTGTTGTTATCCATAGTTATAGAGATATCTGTTGATGTCTACAGCTCATGATATATCTGTTGATATCTTTAGCTCCTGTGATATCTGTTGATATCCATAGTTCATGATATATATGTTAATGTCTACAGCTGTTCATTTTGATAACTCATGGCATATCTGTTGTTATCGATAGTTCATGTGATATCTGTTGAAATAAATAGCTCATATCACATCTGCTGACAAACATATCCCAAACTTAAGTGATATCTGTTGCTAACCATATCCCAAACTTAAGTGATATCTGTTGCTAACTGATTTCGCAAGCTTACATGATATCTGTAAATAACCATATCACAAGCTCAAGTAATTTATGTGAACAACATCCCAACTTATGTTCATGTTATGTTTGTCAAAACAAATCAACAGCTCGGATGACATCTGCTAAAACCACATCTCACGCCAATGTGATATCTGTTCCAGGCTCAGATGATGTCTTGGCCATCTTCATATGATGTGTGTTTCCAGAGAATGTTCAAGCATTCACCATTCACATATTCACGTATTCACTATTCACAACTGGTGCAGCATGGAGGACAGTTGAGCACCGGGTCTTTGCCTATCTTCTCCACGCCTCTAGCAAACAGGGAGATGAGTTGTGTGTGTACCCTGGAACAGATCACAGATCACAGATTACAAAAAGAACAGGTCACACAAATATAGAGAACAGATCACAGATCACAGATTACAAAAAGAACAGGTCACACAAATATAGAGAACACAGATCACAGATAACATAAAGAACAGGTCACACAAATATAGAGAACACAGATCACAGATAACATAAAGAACAGGTCACACAAATATAGAGAACAGATACATAGTTACATAGAGAAAAGATCACAGATCACATGGATAACAGGTCACACATAGAGCACAGATGACAGATCACATGGAGAACAGGTCAAATCTAAATAGAGCACAGGTCAAAGAGTTATTGAGGTCACAGATACGTAGAGATCAGATCACAAATACAGAGAAAACAGATCACAGATCCATTGAGGTCATAAGGAACAGATCACATGGAGAACAGGTCACAGATACATAGAGAACAGATCACAGATACATACACGTGTGATCACAGATACATAGAGAGTGGCAATATATAGAGAATAGATCACAGATTTATAATGAAGAGACCACAGATACACATGACACTGAGAACAGATTACAGATACAGAGAACAGTTCATATTGCCTAAACATATAAAATCTCACATGATTTAAATACATTTACGATTGATGACTACAGAAAAATAAAGCTCATGCATGAACATCTAAGGGCAGGCAACTCTAATTCAGCTACAAGCTTTGCATACCTGACATGAAGATCTGGCGACGTGACGAGCTCGCCGTCAATGTTCCACACACTGTTGTGGGGGGACTTGAGCTGTTTGTGACCGAGACGATTCCTTACGACAGTGCTTGAGGCCGAGGATGTCGCTTCCTCCGCTTCCTCCACATCTGACTCAAAAAGAGGCTGGAATCGGAACTCTTTGACTCGGTACACCTGGATGAAGCTGAAGTCAAACTGGAATACAAGCAAAGATGACGCAGTTTTAAACACCTTCAAGCATAACATAAACCAAATATCAAAACCCCTTTCTGTTCACTGGTCTTGTTGTCAGTTAAATACAGGTTGCACCTAAAAAGCCATACATATCAATAAATTAACACGACGTTGAACTGATATTCTTTCATTCCAATTTGGGATTCATCAGACATTGGTCTGAATACATGTATCAGTTTCTGTGCAGAACCGACTGAAGTGATTCATGGCTTCAATAAATTATTGCACATTTGATGAACTCAATACCATGAACAATCAACCTAAAATTGCCATATATCTTGCTCATTGCTGATAAGACATGTATATGGCTGTTTTGAGTTCATGCAACAATCTACCCACTTGAGAAAGAACACAACATAAACAAATAATAAGAAATCTGAAACAGCACATAAGCATAATTATTTTTAAAATAGTCCAGACACTGATGTAAACATACCCAACAGACAAGACCCAACAGAGTAAAAATATGCTGAATACACAAAAATAAACTAACACCCATTGTGAATAGTTCGTGAGTAAATAGTATCCAAAATCCTACAACAGCATCTGGTTCTATGGGAGTTAAGAAGTCACAATTGCATATCTCCATTCTCTTACCTGACACTATCCCAATTGCGCAGATCGATGCTCATGCTGTCGATCACTGGATTGACTGGCCCAGACTTGACTATTTACAGACCGCCGCCACATAGCTGGAATATTGCTGAGTGCGGCGTTACACAACAAACCAACAATTCTCTTACCTGGTCTGCCTGTTTGTCAGCACACCGATGTAAATGTCGGAGGAAGTCGATTCGGGAACAGTTGTAGATGATGCAGAGGTCGAGACAGCCATCTCCGAGATGTGTCGCTGGAGACACCCCCTCTGGCGTCATGGCAGTGCGACAGCTCATACTGAATGAGTTGATGCCGAGAAACTTGCCACGCACTTTATGCCAGCCATCGGCCCCTACAGACAGTTGGAAGACGTTTTCAAATAATTGGTACATTTAATTGGATTCATTTGATGCAAGAAAAACAAATCACGTACTTCAGTATTTTTCAAGTCATTATACAACACAGCAGTTTTCTTCAATCAGCATCCTATACTAACACAGCATCTCACTACAATCAACCTACCTACCCTAATGAGTTGAACCCAACCCCATTTGTACAATATGTGAAGCCATTATATTGCTGGAATATTGCCAAAAATGGCATAAAATAATATTCAGTCACTAATTGTACCCACATTTACAGAGTTACCATGAGACTAAATTCTATTAAAGGGGTAATAACTCTGTATGAAGATTACCCAAAGTGACACCTGTAACACCTGAGACACCTGTAACACCTACCTGGAGAAAATGGCCGAGTGACACCTGACGTGCTGTGTTCTCTGTTCCGTTCTGATGCTTTGGCACACATATTACACCTGCAAGAATAATAATAATTTTTTAATATAGCACTATATTTTCAAAACACACTCCCCAAAAGATTCTTCATATGCTGACATGTGAGTCTCAATATGAGGTGAGGTGAAATGGTTTCAGATACCCAAACGTATCATAATGAATCGCTGTCATTGCAGATGTTGGAAAATACCCTATAGGTCATATTTAGCTCTTATCTTTCGACCAGTGAGTGATGACTGTTCAGCAGGCCTGGCTTGTCTTCGGGCAGCCATTAGGTGAGGTGAGGTGAAATTGGGTTTTACGTCGTACTTGAGAATATTTCGATCATATGACGACGTGCATGCGTGTGTATGTGTATGTGCGGCTGCTTGTACTAGCCCAGACTTAAGCTGGTTTTATAGTGCTAGCCCACTGAGATACCATGCCGCAGTAAAGCATGAATACCAAATTCAGACACATTATACTGACTCCGAGCAGTAAGTTAATGAGTACTGTTTAATGCTGCTTTTAAAAGGATTTAGTAATATATTATTGAGTGTATTCAAATGTGACATTAAAGCACGAAGTGATGCAGGTTTTAGACAATCACCAATCATGGCCAGAGTCCTGACAAACCTAGAAACAAAGTCAGGATTAAGCTGGAGCTATGATAACAGATATCCTGCACATCTTTGGTACACAACTCATCACAGCAAACTGTCGCAACGGGGACACCCTTTTCTACCCAAACATTAGTGACATACAGGATACATACAGGATCCATCATCACATGCATTATCATGACAATACCACTTTACAGTCATCATGAATAATTTTGCTTACAAGCATAAATGATAAGGACTAAGAGAATTACCCTGCATTACACCTGGTCCCATCACGAGGATGACTCTCACTTTCCGCAGACAACAGGAAGGACACTTCCCCTTCGTAAGAGTTGTTGGCAAGAAACTTCTTAAAACCTGGCAACCATACATGAATATATACAAATGGCAGATGAAATACAAAAATACCAAGTCTTGACCAGATAAACAAATGATAGATATTATGAGTTACATTCAATGTCACAGCAACAGATGACAAGTTACCATGCCTGACCTATTAAATCCAACTGCATTGCCTCTGCCACAAGTAGGATGTGCATTCGAGCCTAGGGCCCTCAGGGATGGAAACAATAATGAGCATCCATCAGTGTTGTTTGTTTGTTGTTTAACACTACACTCAGCAATATTCCAGCTATATGGTGGCGGTCTGTAAGTAATCGAGTCTGGACCAGACAATCCAGTGATCAACATCATGAGCATCGATCTACTCAACTGGGATACGACACATGTCAACCAGCGACCCTGACCACCCAATCCTGTTAGTAACCTCTTATACCAGAATAAAAAATAAGGATCAAGAGCATTACCCTGCATTACACCTTGATTTTATTTAGGTAGCACAAGGAGGAGATTAAATACACATAAAGGACAAAATATAATCAACTGATAAATACATACCACACCAGTTGTACCTGGCCGGTCCCATCCAACGGAGCCCCATACTGTCTTCTAGGAGGTCGCCATAGTAACCATAGGCAATCATGGACACACTGTACTTGATAAACTGGTTCCTGTTGTACAGTGCACACACATCCATGCCAACAGAATCCCCTGCAAGAAGACACAGGCAAGTTAGAAAGTTACCAAAATTTCCTCTACTCCATGATCTCCAGGAAATGCTAGCCTTAAATTCAGGCAGTGTCATATGTTCTGTTCAAAGATGGAAGCTGGGTCGCCAATTAATTATCCATATCAATTTATATTTCGACATGTAAATCTGGAGTCTCTAGATCCTGATTTGAAAATTGATTTGTCTCCTGTTAACACTCGACCATAGTTGATATTGTAAACAAAGTGGTACATAACTATCGGTAACCATTTCACTGAATCTGAACACCGGACTAATGTTTATGACGAGTATGGGTTGCTGGAGACCTCTAATCTTACCAAAAACCTGCATTGGGTCTTCATGTCTGAAGCTACTTTGTGAAAATAACATGATGATATAACCAAGGTGAGTGAGTGAGTTTAGTTTTACCCTGCACTTAGCAATATTCCAGCTATATGGTGGCGGACTGTAAATAATCGAATCCAGTGATTAACGGTATGAGCATCGATCTAGGACAAGCATGGGTTACTAAAGATCAATTCTAACCCGTATCTTCACGGGTCGATATGACCAAAGATTAATATGAACAACAACACAAGTTGGCAGGGTAAGTATGTCAATGAGTCTGACAACTAATTTTATCAACTCTCCTCTCACAACAAACACAAGTTGTTGGGGAAACATTACAAAAAATGAATTCCCACACAGGAAAAGGACAAGACAGAAAATCAGTTTGCAACTTAAGCACATATCTGAAGCCGGTGTCCAGTAATATTAAGCTTGGTCTAGTAAGCACAACAAATCATAGTCTAATAACACCAACCTAATCTGCAGAAAATAGAAGCCTAGAGGACACAAAAGATTATGGCAAAGACTGGTAAAGGAAAGAGGTAACCAAATAAAAATTCACTTTAGCCATGGGCAATAATTTACCTTCAAACATGAGAATAAATGGACTTTAAGAAATAGATTCACAAGGACTTGATCATGTTGATGTGTATAATCGCTGATTTATCCTAACAGGTGACAAGCACAATATTTTGCTGCCCATTTCAAGACAAGGATTGGATGTCTTAGTGTCTGAAACTGTAACAGCAACTCTTACCTATAATGATTTGTATTGCTGACGTTATTGGGTCATTGATTCCAACACTGGTATAGACAATAGCGTCTGTTGACCCTGTAACAAAAATTCGCTGATATATAAATGCTTTAAGAGTTGGGGCATGGGTAAAAATATTAGTTTTCCCATTGTATATATCTCATTTTGATAAATAATACCCAAATTAAAAAAGTAAAACCACTCCATTTAAAAAAATAATGAATACAGCCAAATCCCGATGAGTCGAATGCCGGTGTCTCGAATATTATGCATAACTCGAAGTACCTGTCGGTCCCGACCATTCCCTGTTATAGTTGTCATCATTTGATTTCTGGTTACACGAATTCGTCTCATAAATACACACGATGACTCGAAAAGGAAATTTGGTCCCATGAGATTCAAGCAATCTTGTATACATAAGCCGAAGTCAGTCAATGAGAAGTTGATTGGTGTAGCAAACTGAGCCAATTAACAAACCAGCGCGGCTCACACCTTTCCGCCATTAGTGACTTTACGGAAATCACTGTATGTGCTAATCAGACTGGAACTGATAAGGTGCCCCTATTAGTAATATGGAAATCATTAGATAAACAAATGCTTAGGCGGAGGAATTAGGACTGGATCATCTTTTTTTCTACCCTCATAGACATACCTATGTCTCGAATACATGGATAAGTCGAATTTATTACTTGGTCCCCAGCGATTCGACTCATCAGGATTTGACTGTATTCGATTATAGTGATCATAAACAAGCATTGTCACTAAGGTGACATAATCCCCCGCCGCAAATTATCAAATCAAACTTAAAAAGTAATGAAAGTGAAGGTCGTAATTTAAGATGAAGTTAAATGTCAACAAAAGCATGACTAATCAACCTCTCTTGATATCTTGCTCTGTAGTTGTTCAAACGCACAAATATTTTCAAGACTCACTTTGACCTTGACATGAATGTCTTAGTGTATGAAATATGCAAAAATAGTAATAAAGAAATTGCTTATTGAGAAACATGCAAGAGAAGTCTTGAAAGTCTATGAAGAAAATCCAGTGAACTGTTCTTGAGATATCTTGCTGACAATCTTAACATGCAGTTTAACATGCTGAAATCTTCAGTGTCGTCGTGACCTTGAAAATTATGTGAAGGTCACCAAAATCGAGTGGAACTTGCACCTTCCCCAGATGAAGCTTGGTGTCAAATATGAAGAAAGTCCAGTGAATGGTTCTTGAGATATCTCGCTGACAAGGGTAAAATGTTAAATGCCCCTTGTGACCTTGAAATGAAGGTCAAGGTCACCAAACCTGACTGGGACCTTTCTTTTACTGTGATGAACCTAGGTACCAATTATGAAAAGAATCCAGTCAACGGTTCTTAAGATATTCCAATTCGTATGGACGGACGGACGATCGGACGGAGCTTAATACTATATACTATAAAGGAATTCCTGAAAGTTTACAGTTCAATTCAACAATACCTGGGCCCACTTGCACAGAGCAATCTTAGTTACAATCAATCTTAGGGCCTTACAATCAACTTTACAATCACCATACAATTGCCCTCATCCACTTGCACAAAGCTGATCTTAGCTCGATTGTAAGACCGCATGGATTTAAGATCGCGATCTTAGCTAAGATCGCACTCTTCCACGGTGGAGGTGCGAATTTCTTAAACTCGACTCCTGTCTACAGTTGTCTGCAAGTGCGCATAGCATACTGCGTAAATAGAGAGTGATACTGGTCCCTGCACACAATACATACCTCCCTCAATCGCACTTTGCAGAATTTTCATGACAAACATTCCAAGAAATCTTCAAAGGAAACGATTACGTGGACGATAGCATATATTTTTCTACATTTTAACTGTCTTGATTTATGAATTGAGAATGTGATATTTCAACCACGAAATACCTACCCATGTTTTATGAAAATATTGAACTGCTAAAAAATACATTCATAAATTTGGGTCTAGATTTAGTGACTTAATAATTATGAAAATTATAATAATATATCAAATATCGACAATATTTACTTATGATATAACACCTAAATGCATGATTTGCCACTGGTTGTCAATGAGACATTGTTTAATGCACAGCTGTTTTTTTTTTTCCTTTTGTTTTTGTGTGTGTAAAATCAAAAATATACCCTAGAAGTATTGGTTTTCTCACAATATAACCAGAAAATGTAATATGGCTACAGAAGTGTTGTAAAGAATTCATGACAGGGAAATACGAATATCAAATAATATATCGAGAGAGCAGTTGTTAAATACTCATTCACAGTATATTAATGATATGACCCTATTATGTTGATAAATATTTTTCTTAAAGTGAAATTAAAATTGAATCTTGATTTTGCACGTTAACTTGATTACTTTAATGATAAACTAAGACAAAATCACTCCATCACCTAAAAGAAAAATATCTTGAGCTCTGCGACAAGGGCATGACAGACTCACGGCAACGGCATAGGCCAGGGGAAACCACTCCCATCTTGCCCATGAACTAAAATTATCTGCTCTTGAGTTAATGAAAAGGTCACGCCATTGTTAATCGCACGCGACACCATTTGCTAGTATCCTTCCGTGATTATCAAAGAGGTATGTTGTTTCACACTTATTCCAACATTGAATCGGGTGGGAATAGTACTTTGTGATATCGACTCGATAGTTCTGTGGTTCACTACAGCATATAACAATGTATCCGACGTTAAATCGGTTGTGCATTCTCCGTGTTGTTGAAGTGTCGAGGCGAATCATACAGTACAGTTTTATGCAATATAAAAGCACGCTAACTCCAAACGTAAAGCTGATTATTTGCGTGAAACTTGAACACCATTTTGTCACAGACTACAATGATCTTAGCTCCTTACAATTGGTCCGGACCAATTGTAAGTTTCGATTGTAACTTACAACGATCTTAGCCTACAATCGCTTTGTGCAAGTCGATGGCGATTGTAGCCGAAGCCTAAGATCGCGATCTTATGGATTTACAATAATTGTAGCGCTAAGATCGTTCTGTGCAAGTGGGCCCTGGGTGAATCACAGCCCTAAATAATATATTCCTATTTACCTGCAGGAATGATTCCGACCCGAAGTTTTGGCTGTATGGGATGGTGGTGAGTCTCCTGATTGACCCCTCCTTCTTTCGATGATCTGTCAAGCAGACCATTCAGCACCTCGGAGAATGTACCGTCACCACCAACACACACCACCCTGGGGGTACAATATGGCACATGTACATTAAATGTACCACAGATATGTTTAAGAATATATGGAATCAATTTCTATGAATAAGCTGGATGGGCTGATAATAGATATTAGGACAGTCAGTGTCAAGCTCACAAGAGAGGCTGAAGGTGCTTTTCTGTGAATGAATCAGTTTGGTAGATGTTGGAGTAATGTCATAACATTTCAGTTTCTTGTAGCAGAGAAGCTCTTGTAGCTCACAGAAACAGGTTCTAGATTACAACTTTGGTCACCCCATGACGACACAGCAGGGTCCAAACAGGATGTTCAAACTGACCCTCAGCTATTCCCGATGCAGTTAAGGGAGGCAATTCTGTGTAACAAACTACCTAAGAGCAGTGAGGGTAGTTTATCTCGAATTCTTCAAACTGAAAAACTGAATACATCAATTAACTCACCTGTCTACAGGAGGTACCTATAAACTAATTGCATTCTTCAACTACAGTCATGTTGCCTATCTGCAGTAGACATCGACTCACCCGTCTATGGACTCCAGGTTGTAGTCCTGGAGGACCTCCTTGGCATGGTTCTGCCTCTCTGTCACTGAAACACAGGAATATCATCAGGCTCATTCTACCATTGGGGCAGTGGGGGTCGCCTAGTGGTAAAAGTGTTTGCTTGTCACAGAGAAGACCCAGGTTCGATTCCAAACATGGGTACAATGTGTGAAGCCCATTTCCAGTGTCCCCCCACTGTCATATTGCTAAAAGCGGGGTAAAACCACACTTATTCATTCAAAAACTGCTTATTTCACAAGTGAACTGTTAAAATATTTCTTACATGACATGTCCCTGGATATGTGTCAGCTTTGGCTTACATCTATACTTCCCATCAAAAGTTTAGACTCACTTAAAACACTCACTATATGTTATGGGTATATATATACATGGTTACATCGAAGATTGATTTCTCCACTAACTTGGGGGAACCAACTACAAACTTTATGCAGATGAACTGCACGAGGATCATGCATCAAATTGCTGAAAAGCATGTACAAAAAATAATATAGTGCATGTGTGCAAATATCGTGCATGTGATCAGCAATTTTTGGTGTAAAGTTTGTTAAGAATTCGCCAATTTTCACTGATTTTTATTACTTATTAAACTCATGACAATAATCTTTTCAATGTTACGAATTTGTTGTACATTACATCAGTTCATGTGTAAACAGTACCTTTAAACAGTATGGAATCTTTTAAATGGCTATATTTACTCTAGTGAGTCTCAACTTTTGATAGGAAGTATATATTAACTATGGCAGGAGAAAGCAGTCCTTTGGTTTGAAGAACTTGAACAGATTCTGTCAACGCTCACTCACTGATGACTTCCGTGCTGATCCCTGCCAGTTCAAACAGTGGCGCCACCTTGCTGTTGTACACAGATGGGCCCTTCTTGCGACCCCCAAAAGGGTTCACGAACACCAACAGCTTCTTTGGTCTATGGAATTCTGTAACAGTCAAACAACACGTCAATCAACTGCAAAAACACTTCCTTACATTTGAACATATGCCTCTCAATCCATACTGTGGACATCACTTGCTTGATAACAGTGTCTGAATACATGCAGAAACCTTGCTCTTTATTTAATGAAGAAGATGTATATGCCACGTCGTATCCCAATTGCTTCATTCGATGCTCATAATGTTGATCACTGGATTGTCTAGTTCAGACACAAACACATACAGCATGTACAGTATTATATAGTATTAGACAGTATTACATTACATTATTACCCTTAATATAAATTTGTCGAATTCTGATTGGTCAACAGCCAAAGCATTCGAAACCATGTAGGCAGATTGGCCTTCAAATCTGTCATGTGACACACTACAGGGGTTGAACGAATGACTTTGAGCTTAGTTGGAATGTGGCTGCCAAACGGCTGATCGCTTGGAAATTTTAGAGTTGGCGTATACAATTTTGAGTATAAACAAAAATAATATAATTGTTGCCATAATTTCTTATCTGTTTGTGTCAATAAATATATCCAAAAAATCAAATGTTTCCGTATTTCACTTGTCATTTAACAACACCTCAAATTTGATAATTTTTATCTTGACTAAGCCATCCCAAGTTATCTCCCTTTATGACCGTTCAGGAAAAATCATGGCGGAGCGTTTTGAATCTCATTCTGCCGATAACTGAACGTTGTTGTTTTAAGATAGCTCTATAAATAAAAAGATCCTATTACAAGGGTAATAAATTCGTTACATGGGTGTACGGGACTCTAAGACCCTAGTAAATTCCATATTTCCTGAGGCACGGTGTTTTGATAATCTGTACGGGACTGTAAGACCCTTGTAACTTCCGTATTTCCTGAGGCATGGTGTTTTGAAAGGGTGCACATGACTTATACAAACCTGTAGAGGTTATGAATTCTTTGAAAAATGTCCTCCTTGGGGTACATTTAAGCATTAAAATGTCCATTTTAAATACCTACGACAGTTGTAACAATATTTCAATCAAATATTTTACAAAACAAAAAACTCGTTTTTGTCTTGTGAGACCACCCCTACAGGGCCCCCTACAGCCAAGAGCGGTAACTCTGGCTGCTTACCTCGTACCTCACTTTTCATGCTTCTTCTGAAAAAGAATGTAAGACCCGTCCCAAACACCCTTTCAAAGCACTGTGTAACTAATAGTATAAATGAGTACTACCTGGTCCCTGAAGTAGATACAGAATCTTGTCCACCCACATCTGTGCTGTGCTGTGGTCCTTGCAGTTGAACACCATCTTCTTGTGGCGCCACCGATGTTTGGTCTGGCGCTTGACATAGTACACACAGAACGCATTGGAATGCATCTGCTGCATCTCGATGCATAGGTAGACCTTGGTGCCATCTTTCCGCTTGAAGCGATCTTTGTTGACATTCTGCTGCTCCAGCTGTACCCCGATCACTTCCTGGAGCTCCAGAAGGTTATTTAGGCGACCTGGAAAACAAAGAAAGTCTTCGGTCATGCTATGTAAATAATACTAACAGACTGGTTTGCCTGCCCGCCATCAGGTGTTGTGACCTAGAAGTCAAAGACGTCTTCCATCATGCTATGTAAATAATACTAACAGACTGGTTTGCCTGCCAGCCGTCAGGTGTTGTGACCTAGAAGCTGAAGACGTCTTCCATCATGCTATGTAAATAATACTAACAGACTGGTTTGCCTGCCAGCCGTCAGGTGTTGTGACCTAGAAGTCAAAGACGTCTTCCATCATGCTATGTAAATAATACTAACAGACTGGTTTGCCTGCCCGCCGTCAGGTGTTGTGACCTAGAAGTCAAAGACGTCTTCCATCATGCTATGTAAATAATACTAACAGACTGGTTTGCCTGCCAGCCGTCAGGTGTTGTGACCTAGAAGTCGAAGACGTCTTCCATCATGCCATGCAAATAATACTAACAGACTGGTTTGCCTGCCCGCCGTTAGGTGTTGTGACCTAGAAGTCAAAGACGTCTTCAATCATGCTATGCAAATAATACTAACAAACAGACTGGTTTGCCCTCCCTCAAGCGTTTGCACTCCTCACTACATTACAAGAGCAAGCCAGGGCTGGCATTTTTGGGAGGAATTTCTCTATGTAGATTTACCAGGGCTCCAGATAAGTTTTCAACCTCAGGAGTATGTACTCCTTATTGTCTTCAATATAGAAGTACTGGAAAACCTTATGAGTACATTTAGAGTACTGAATGGAATTTAATGACGTATCAGTAATCTTGTGTTTCGTTTCATTATGCACCACAACATTGCTACTCTTGTGTAAACAGGTCAATAAACAATAAAACAATACTTTTTCAGATAAATCCATCTTAATGATTCTGAGGCCGTACACCATTGCTGTGGTGTGTATCTGCTACATTTTCTTAATTATTTCCTACCGTATCGTGCATATTGTTTATCCGTACATACACTGATACAGCCCTTATCTGGATCCCTGTTTACCATTGATGCAACGCCTCGACACATGACAAGATAGGTGTCTGGCCCCATTTTCATGAGGATTTATGACGGCAAGGCCAAAATGGATATCTGTTACCATGTTAGCCTGCTCACTATGGTGAAACAAACCAGTTTCAGATACCCAAACGTATCATAATGAATCGCTGTCATTGCAGCCATGTTGGAAAACACCCTATAGGTTATATTTAGCTCCTATCTTTCAACCAGTGAGTGATGCCTGTTCAGCAGGCCTGGCCTGTCTTCGGGCGGCCATTAGGAGGCAAAGGGGAGGGTACCACTGTATACAAATAACAAGGTCAAGGTTACAAGGTCAAGGTTACAAGATCAATATGCAAAGAAAGTCATCAGTAATTTGAGGGGTAACAATGCTGCGAGTATATGATACGATATGCACCCTGATAATATGTGTGTAACATTATTTGTATCCGGATACCGTACTTCCATTTCATATGTTTAAATTATCTCCTGTTCCTCGGGTAATTCTTAAACCTGAATCATTTGTTTTCAAATCTCAAATGGCGAGATGGGAAATTGTGTTACAAAAAAAAACATAAGCTTGGGGGCGCTATGAATATTCTGCTATATACCATCCTGGACATACCAGAGGCTTTGCATGAACTGGTTCTTGAAACAGTTCCTGTAATTTTCCACTGATTTTACATCACTATATTTTGTAATGTAATGTATTGTATGTATTACAATAAGGGGTGACTACTGCGGGGGGAAACAACTATTGTGATAGTGATAGTCTATTGCGATACTATTGCTATGAAATACTATGAAATAAAAACAAGTTGAAGTAGATTCAGTCTCTTTTAATAACTGTCAAGAAACTTGAAACCCAGATCAAGTAAACAGTTAAAACATAAACTTATTATTATTCACAATTTCAAACTCAGAGTCGCATGCCGTGTTTGCCGCCATGTTTGTATAAAAGGTAACAGGGGCGGAAAACTCTAAATCAAAGTGAACGAATCTGGTACTTCCTGTATTTTGCTTTGTCCATTTATCAACAGAAGTCAATTACTAAAATATCAATAGTCACACATACTATCAATGCATTGATAGTTTTTCATGTCTACCATCGATTCTACTCAACAATTGCAATTTATCAATAGTTCGATGCATCGTTGCAGCACTAATTTAGGAATTACAGTACACAAGTTGTAAAATGATGTATTATATTGTGAGCCTTGTATCATGATACAATAATGTATTGAAGTATCGTTATAACACTAACAGCCATGCTATCAAATAATTACTCTTATATGGTCAACAATTCATTTGCAGCTAACCCGTGAAGACCCAGGTTAGAATTAATCCCATGCTTGTCGTAAGAGGCAACTAACGGGATCGGGTGGTCAGACACATTGACTTGGTCAACAAATTTATATCATCATATCGATTGTGTATATCGATGCTCATGCTGTTGATCACTGGATTGTCAGGTCCAGACTCAATTACTTACAGACTGCCGCCATATAGCTGGAATATTGTGGAGTGCGGCATTAAACAAACAACCATTTGCAACTTGGAGCATTGCAGAAGTAAACTCTCGGTCAAATTGTTAACAAAATGTTTAATTCCTGACTAGAAATATTAAAATGTGAATTAAGTAACACTAAAATGTTACGCACAAAAATGAAGAGTTACAAATATATACATTCAGAGCTTAGTAGTGAGGCAATTAGTTAGGCAAACATTTAAAGCAGGGGTTACAGGAGACATCTTTGTGCTGCAGACAGGATTAACTAGCTGTTGCTAATCCTGGGTAACAATAAGATATTCTTGGTCAGAATATAGATTCCAAGTAATCCATGCTTGTCTCAAGACGTGACTAAATAGATTGGCAGGTCAGGCTTACTGACTTGATTGATCATGTGTCCTCTGATCTGTGAAGATCCAGGCTAGAATTGATCTTCAGCAACTCATGCTTGTCGGAACAGGCGACTAAGGGGATTGGATTGTCAGCCTCGCTGACTTGGTTGATGTATGTCATCATATCTGAATTATGTATGGATACTTGTGATATTGATCACTGGATTGTCTGGTCCAGACTTGATTACTTACAGACTGCAGCTATAGAGCCAGAATATTGATGAGTGCTGCCTTATACAACAAACAAAATATGTCCTCTCATACAAAATGTATGGATCGATGATCATAATGTCAATCACTGGATTGTCTGGTCCAGCCTTGATCATTAACAAACCGCCATCATGGAGATGGATTATTGCTGAAAGTAGTTTAAATTCAAATGGTAATTATTACCTTGCTTCTTTACTTGTATACAGTTTATTTACATTTACTGTTATAGATTGTTCCAACCATATTTTTTTTAATATACTATCCATCAAAAGTTTGTTCACTTAAAGCCCTCACTATTGAAGATAAATTTCTCACTAAAATTGCTGAAAAGCATGTGCAAATATCGTGCATGTAAACAGCTGCATTTTGGTGTAAAGTTTTGTTAAAAAATTCACCAATTTTCGCTGAGTTTCATAATTTATTGAACTCATGACAATAACATATTGAACATTACGAATCTGTTTCACAATACATCAGTTAATCTGTAAACAGTACCTATAAAACAGTATGGAATACTTTGCAAAATCTAGTTTAAAACAGTTGACTGAAGTAAGTGGCTTCATTTACACTAGTGAGTCTAGACTTTTGATTGGCAATATATTAAGTAACAAATACCCATTGAATAATCTGTATACATATAAAGAAAATGTAAAACACCTACTATTAGACATTTTCTACAAAATAGGATCACCCATAGCACGGTTTTACCTCGACTCACAAACATGGGGGTCCCAGGAACCCCTAATATTAGTTACAAGGGTCCCTGCTGGCAATACAAGGGCCCTGTGAAGTTACAGTGTAGAGAACTGTTTGCTTTGATAGTTTCTTTAGAGCCTGGAATGAATCATTGATCAAGTGGACTGATGGATGAAATGATGCACGTAAATGCTCTGAAAGAATCAATCAAACACTCAACAAAGTCAAAGATGCGTTGTGGGTAAAATCAATAATATTGTGTGTCTTGTGAACAAAGTAAATTTGTTTTCTGCATCTATTCTCTACATCTGTGCGTACTGGACACACATTTGCACATCGCGTAAAACCCTGCCCTTAGACTAACGCTTAGTCTCTGAATATATATAATTTTGATATAAACTCATTCAAATTGAAAAGGAGACCCAATGAGATAAGAAATTCAGAACTTGAGGAAATCTAGATTTGCTTCATTTAAAGCTTAAGCATTGCAGGGAGAGCTAGGCAATAATGTGATTGAGGGACTGTGAGACAGACTAGACCACCCTCTTTACCTACTTATTGTACATCAGAAATAGGCTGCTCAATACCATTGATTACCACCACAGAGAAATGTATAGATGCAAACCCTATATTTATTTTTTTTATTCCGGTACTGAAAAGGCCTCAGGCCTATAGTACACCATATACATTGCTTTATACACATTCAAAGAACAATACGTTTTCTATGTACAAATGAGCAGAAAAAATATACATGGACAGGTTTTCAATTTCTTTAGGATTTGAACTATTTAGCAGTAGTGAAAAGTCTTAAGCCTGTTTGGATGGACATAATATTTTTCTCTTATATATTTGCTTCGAAGATTACTGTAGTTAGGGCACACAAGAAGATAATGATACTCGTCTTCAATTGCATTTGTATTACATAATTTACAAGTTCTGTTTTCTCTATCCATATTTACATATATACCTTTCTCAATTAGAAGTTCATGAGATGAGCATTGGAATCGTGTTAAACTGTATTAAACTATAAACATTAAACTATAGTTTTCAATTCAACAAGTCAACCAATCAACTGATCAACAGCCAATTTTGTTATCAAGGAAAATATTATGAAGAAAGCTGTTAAAATATTTGTATTCTAATGAGTTTGCGTGAGTGAGTAACATTTACACCGCTTTGAGCAATACTTCACCAAT